CCCTTTTGGTCACATCGAGTATATAATTTTATATTATAAAATTCAATTAAATATAAAAACTAAGACTCAATGTTCGAATAAATATTTTGCTTTTCTAATTTTATTATAATTCATTTAGATATTATTAAATAAAGTTAAAAATATATAGTAGATTTTTAAATTCTTTTAAAGAGTAGAATTCTTTTTAAACGATTTAAGCGAATTTATTCTTCGAATTTTAGCTATATATATCTTTTAAAATCTCGTCAAATAAAAGATTCTAATATTTGAAGTATTTTCAACTATTATATATTAATAAAAAATAAAAAATATATAAATCTCGATTCTAAAATATTCAAAATATATCTTTATTTATAACTTTAATATATATCTATATTCAAAAACGTTATTATTCTTTACTTTTAATCAAAAATCACTACCCGAGTATTTTCGCTTATTCAAAGTTTCCATCAATCAACCAATCACCTCAATTCCACAATTACTCGAGTATTTCAGACCCACACATCTTTAATCCCGCCGCCCACACTCGCTAATTTTTTGATCTCCTCTCCCTCCTCCTTCTCTTCCACTTCCACTTATTTTTCCACCCCTCTTCCACAGTTCCACTCCACTTCACCCGCAGCACGTGCAAACATCTTCTGGGTGGCTTAAAGATATCATATTATACCACACTCCACTACAAAACCACAAATCTCAATTACAATCACACTGGCAATCACCCACATACACCCATCACCTCAACTCCCAAAAACAATTTGCACCTACCTCTCCTACCTCCCCCTCAATACAACCACCCACATACGACATGTCCCGTTCCATCCCCCCCCCTCCTACACCCCTACCTTACACTCCCCTCCTCATCCTCCCTCATCCTCCTAACCAGCGTTCTTGGCGCCGGTACAAATTGGCTTGTTTTACGCTATCTCAGTTCTTTACTTTCGCAGGAGAATAAGCATGGAGATGGAGATGGAGATGATGAAGAAGTAAAAGTTGTGTTTTTGAGTTTTATGAGGGATATGAATTTTTGGCGGGAAGGGGCTAGGAAGATTGTGAGTTTTTTATCTTCTTTTTTTTGTTAGGGGGTTTTGAGGGGTTTTGTTAGGGGGGTAAAGGGAGGAGGGCGTTTTCTCATCCAAGTTAACAATTCTGGCCCTGTAAAAGGGGATGAGAGAGGAGAGGGGTTTAAGATATTTTTTTGGTTATGGTTTTTTGGAAGAGATGAAAGATCTTTGGGGGGTGGGAATGATATATTTCTATATCTATTTTTTCTATGATCTTTCTCAAGTGAGAAGATATAGATAGATACAAATATACCGATGAGAATCCCCCCAGACCTCAATCCACACACCTCCTCCCCCTATCCCCTATTATATTTCCCTTTCTTCCCCCTTCTTTCCTTCCAAATAAAAGTAAACCCAATCCTCCATTCCAAACAACTAATACGCACCAACCTAGAATCTCGATCTCGACAAAGCCGCCCTCCAAAACCGTTTTATCTTCATCGATGGCTTAACATCCCTCTATCTACCACCTTCCTCATCTCCCACTCCCTCCTCTACATCACAAAATGGCTTTATCCTTACCGACCCCTCCTTACCCTATATATCTCAAATCCTCACTAAAGCCATAACCACCCTCTCTTCCTCGTCCTCCTCCTCCAAAACCATCCTCATACTCGACTCTCCCTCCCTCCTCCTAGCCACTTCCCCCTCCCCCACCACCACCCTCCCCCACCTCACAACCCTCCTCCATCAGCTCCGCACCCTTGTGCACGCCACCATCATCACCCTCCCTATCGATACTCCTTTTCTCCACCATTCCCCCTCCTCTTCCTCACCCTCTTCACAAACCTCATCTACACCCACACCCCTCCAAACCACTTCCTCCACCTTCCTCACCTCTCTCGCCCATAATTCCGATCTTATACTCAGTACGCGATTACTTGATACCGGGGCTGCGAGGGATGTTAGTGGGGTTTTACGGATTACTGCTGGGGGTGATGGTGGTGGTGATGGTGGTGGTGGGAATGGAGGGGAAATAGAGGAAAAGGAATTACTTTATTATGTATCAGGGGATGGGAGTGTGAGGGTATTTGAACGGGGTCAATAGGTTTTGGGACTTTGCTTTTTTGATTTGAGCCTTTCCTTCGGGTTCAGGTTCATGTTCACATAGCAGCATAGTTATGGCTTTGCATTGTATTCCGAGTATTGAGTACATGACAATGACCTATGTGGATGGATGGATATATGTATGGATGTATGATGAATAGATGGATAGATAACTAGCCGGATAGTAAGTCAAAGACCTACGACATGTCCACATACACACACACATGTATACTCTGTGAATTCCACGAAGAGTGGAACAATAGGGGAGGAAAGGAAAGGATGTTAAAACTCATTGTATCATATCATATCATATGAATGATCCTATAGATACAAATACAAAGATACAAGAATACAGTAATCCAACCAAGAAATAAATCCGGTTCGAGCCTCTTTAGAGTTCTCATTTCTCAATGATCTACTCTCAACTCTCAACTCTCAATTAAGAATCTTTTAATATAGATAGACAGCATGCTGTATATTACTGAGTACAGTATAAGTATATCATACATATCACATCACAATACATCACCATATCACAACACAATATATTCACAATACACTTCATCACACTACGCTACACTACCTCACAGTACAGTATAATCAATATCTACAGATCTACACGAAATATATTTATTCTTTTACTTTTACAAAAGACAAATTCTATATTCTATATTCTATATCCCTCATCCACATCCTATATCCCCCACATCCTACATCCCTTATCCCATATCCCATATCCCATATCCTGCCTCTCTCATCCCTCATCCCCCATCCCAGATATCGCAGGGTGAAGAAGGGAGAATAAGAGAGAGAGAGAGATATATATATATATACATAAAACACAATATCCTCATCATCATCCCCATCCTCATCATCCTCATCCCCACCCCCATCCTCATCCCCATCAACATCGAAACTAAATATTATATTATATTATATTGCATTTCTTTGGATTATATTGGATTGGAATATATTAACTTCCTTATCTCATATTATATTATATATATCAAATCCCAAATCTCAAATCCCAAACCTCAAATCTTAAATCTTGTGTCTAGAACATTAAATTATATTATATATACCCCTTATCCCCCATCCCTCATCCCTCGTCCTACCTACCACATATACATAAAACTACCTTTCCCCTTCACCACTCCCACTCTCCCCTTCCCCTTCTCCTTCCCCCTCTCCCCTCCCCTCCTCTCCTCTCCTCTCCTCTCCTCTCCCTCTTCCCTTTCTCCCCCTCATCTCTCCTCTTCCCCTTTCACCTCCTCTCTTCCCCTTTTCATCACCCCCTTCCTCACCTTCCCTCTCCCTTTCCTCTATTCCTCTCCTCTTCCCTTTCCCTCCTCTTTCCTCACCACCCCCACTCTCCCCTTCCTCTCCTTCCTCCCCAAATCAGATCAATCTGAATCTCAATCTCAATCTCAATCTCAATCTCAATCTCAAAAAGTTATTTTCAAAACACTTTTTATATAATATTTTATCCTTTTATCCTTCTATCATTCTATCCTTCTATCTAGGAGTACTCTCGAGTATTATATTATATAGTATAGTATAATATTCATTTATTTAAATCCCAGGTTCTAGGTTTTATATCCTAGGTTCTAGATTCTATATTCTAGGTTTTATATTCTATATTCTATATCCCAGGTTCTATTCTAGCCTCAACTTCTATATTCTATATTCTATATCCCAAATTGTATAAATATAAAATATTTGCTTATTTGTTTACTTACTCACTCATTCACCCCTCACTCTCTCATCCACCCCCTTTCTCTTATCCTCCTCCCTTTTCCTCCTCTCACTTTCCTTTCCTCTCTTTTCCCTTTCTTTTCCCTTTCTTTTCCTCCACCTCCATCCTCCTCATCCCCCTTCTCCCTCCCTCCTCTTTCTTTCTTCTCCTTCTCTCCTCTCTCTTACTTTTCTCTTCTCCCTTTTCTATTTTTCTTTTGTATCTTTTCCCCCTCCCTTCCCCCCCTCCTCTCTTTTTCTCCTTCTCCCTTCTCCCTTTCCCCTTTCCCCTTTCCCTTTTCCCCTCTCCCCATCCTCCTCCCTTTTCATTCTCTTACTCTTCCCTCTTATTTTTTCCGCTTCCCCTTTCTCCCTCCACCCTCCATTTCTTCCCCTCCCTCCACTTATCCACCCCCTTTCCCCTCTTCTCCCTCACCCTCTCTTTTCCCTCTTCCCCCTTGCCCCTTCTTTTTTCCATCCTCTCACCCTCCCTTCCCCCCTCTCCCTCTCTTTTCTCTCTTTCCCCTCTTCTCCCTCACCCTCTCTTTTCCCTCTTCCCCCTTGCCCCTTCTTTTTTCCATCCTCTCACCCTCCCTTCCCCCCTCTCCCTCTCTTTTCTCTCTTTTCTCTCTTTTCCCTTTCCCTTTCTCTTTCCCCTTTCCCCTCCTCCCCCCTCCTCCCCCCCAATCAACCCAATCACCAAATCCGAATAAACCAATTATATTATAAACTGAACTGTGAACCTGAACTATGAACAATGAACAATATTATATTATTTATATGTTATGTGTTGTGTGAAGAAAAAAAGGAACAGGATGAACTGTGATATAAAACCAGGCACTTACGTACTTATCGAAATAGCATATAACGAACGAATGCGAATGCAAATATAAATGCGAATATGAATGTGAACAGGGTCGAGACCTTTGCCATTTGTTTTGCTTTCTCGTGTCAATATCACTCACTCACTCATTCAACATCACTCAGTTACTCATCGTCAAACCTACAGTCAAACCACATCAACTCATATCAAACCAGTAACTTTACAGTAACTCAGATTCGAACCATATCAAACCACCAACTTCACAACACAACAAATCACATCCATTCTCTCACAACTCACAATACAACAAATCACATCCAATCTCCAAAATCTACGTCATCAAAAAAAAAAAAAAAAAAAAGGATTGCAAACGATGGTATTCTTGCTAGAGAACATGTCATGTAATGTCATGTCTTTTAAAAATTGGCAAAACCCAACCCACTTCATACCCTCATACGACCCACGAGAAGACCGAGTCTAAGAATTGAGCAAACATGATAATAAAATTGTGAAATTTCAACATGTTGCTCATTCCTGTTCTCTAGCATATCAAAAGCCATCCATTCGCCAAACCTTCGACCTCGACCCTTATCAAATCCATCCCAAGCCGTTTGTAATATTTGACATTTCTTTACTCGGAAGTTTTGTTGGCTGGTCCTCTAGCTCCCTTTGGTACACCGGTTTGGAATCCATTCTTGAATCTTCTTGGGACTTCCTTCATGTGACGCATGCGACCGGTACCGGTGGTCTTTCTTCTCTTAGCCTTCTCACCCCAGTTATCTGTTTAGTTAGATTAGCTTGTATTCGTCTTTGTTGTTTATCAATTTGATCATTCGTGATGTATTGATGATTTGATGTATATCGCGAATATCCGAATCGATTGAATGGTGAAGATGGATGAACTGAAATAACGTACATTGACGGGTCTTGGCTGCTGGGTAACCACATCCCGAACAGGTGTGCTTTTGGATGTGGAGGGATCGGCGACCTAAAATTATGTACCATAAACATCAGCCTTGAATTCTTCCTCTCGAGATATCCTCAATCCTTTTCATTCAAGTCTTTTCAATCAAATTGTCCACCTCCTGATTCCCAACTTCTTCTATCCTAATCCTCCTCTCCCATCCCAGGAATGAGATTCAAAACTAACCGCAGCGTCTGCACAAAGTGTGCGTCTTGTTATGGCGCTTTCCGAAACTGGCGGTACCCTTGGCTGTAATTCAAATCATCGTCAGTATTAAGTCCTCCTTTTTGGTGTAAATTGATGGTATTTTATCGAGAATCCAAGGTTTACGCACTCATTTTGAATTAGGAACTGTGAAATTTAGTTGTCAGCGATTGTCCTGATGATGGGTATCGTAATGGGACAAAAATTGGCGATAACGTACCTTGGGGCTGTCGTAGGTTGTCGTTGATTCAATATCTCGACTTTTTCGAAGAGGCTTAATCGCGAAATAATGGGAAATTTGGGAAACCCTAAGCTAGGGCAGATAATATCATGTGATTAGCGAAGCGAGATTATAATGGACCGTGTGGGGTCATAATTTTGAAGATGCCTGAGAACCTTGACAATTATCATTTTAATCTTTAAACGCCAGTGAGGTGAGTTTAGAGTGAATGTGAATGTGAATCTGAATGTAAATGTGAATATGAGATGCAATGTAATGTAAAACATAGACCAAGATACCGATATACCAACCTCAGCAAACAAAATTTCGTTGTCGTTGCACATTACACCTATCAAAAGACCTCATTTTCAATGACACCAAACCAACCAACTCTTCAAACCCATTCAAACATCTTAAAATCATCTTACTGCGAGGTATATCAAGTCGAGTTTAAAGCAAGAACAAGAATCACTTAAATCCATTACCGTTGCTTATTGCTTATGAGATTGATGTACTTCCTTCCCAATCAATATCACCTCAAACCTCACTCAAGTACTCAACTCCCAAAACCATAACCAGAATCTCATTTGTATTCCTATTCCTATTCTTATACATACTTGCTACGTTCTTGCTACGTTCTGTTCATCTATCCATCGATCTATCAATCGCATAAGGGGGTATCTTATCTTAAAGTCCGACCAAGTCTAACAACCAACCGATCCTCCTCTCCTCCCTGCTCTCATCTCGTATGCGCGTATTTGCTTGTCTTTCTGTACATTCATTCTTATGAACGAATCGAGTTCCTTCCTCCACGTATGTATCTGATTACCTCCCATCATTATGTATGTATACAAACCAGATACCATGTACTGTGTACCGTCCCTCCGTCCGCATCACCATGCAAGAGCCCATAGCCCATGACTAGAAAATACCATTAACGCCAACCCCCAACCCCCATCCCTATTCCCATTCACCCTTCCTTCACATTCCCATCCCCTTCTTCACATTCTCATCCACAATCACAGCGTAATCAAATCCAGCTCCGAAAAATCCGGTGGATTCCTCCCATAAACCACTCTCCCCTTAGCATCCAACGCCGCCCCCACATTACTAATCCAAATATTGGCTCCCGCATAATCCCTCGTCCTCTTAACCTCATCATCACTAACCCCAATATCATCTCGTGGAATCCAGACCACCGGTCTCCGGGCCCTCAGCGCATAATGTTGAAACGCATGTTTCACCAAACTATCTCTTTCTTCTGGAGCTAGATCTTCGATTTCATCATTATAACCACCATAGAGAGCATTTGCGATTTTTTGCTGTGCTTCGATGTCGCGATGGTGTCGTTTGCGTATTAGTTGTGGTAGAGCGATTCTTTCATCAATGTTCTGGGGAACATCGGTGCCGTTTCCGCGAGCAAATGTTTTGTGTCGGAGATTTCTACCGGATTGAAGAGCCCAGCCACCAGCTGCGGCGGCACCATGAACCAGTTTGGATGGTTTGAGTTTGGAAAATTTACCTCCTCCGTTCGTGGGTGGTAAACTTTCCATCTCGATGAATCCTGGTCCCTGGATGCCGATACCGTCATTTTGTGGTAATGTTTCTGGGTCTGCAGTTGTGAGACCTAGACGTTCGGCTTGCATCCGATCAAATGCTTCATCACGGAGAACAGCTTCATCCTCAAAGGTAATTGGTAAGTATCGAAGTAGAGGACCAAAAGACCAGTTGAGGAGGAATTGATAAAGAGCAGTTAGAAGGAGAGCAACAATCATGATGATTGCCTGAGCAGCGAGTGAATCACCTTGCTCATCCTCTGTCAAGAAGAACAAGCCAATGAGGCAAAGTTCCATGACATATAAACCAGTAAATGTTTGATTTATAGCACGTGGGTACAAGAGACCTCCTGTATCGATCCTGAATCTAGAGACATAAAGCATGTTGTAACGATTTGCAATCCAAAGAAGCGTGAATGTAATAATAACAAAGATGATGATGACCGGCGAAACCACGCAATAAATCAGGCCAATACAGGCAAAGTTGGTGTATACCGGAAAGAATGATCCCCAGGATACTGATGGAAGTGTTGTATTTCTCTTCCACTTTTGTCGAGCAGTATTATCGAAGATCTTAGGTAAAATGAACCAAAATATTAAGGTCGTTAATTGCAGAAGTGTACCCGAGCTCACAGATAATGCTTGTAGAATCATATAAGAGAAAAAGTAATTCGCCGCCTTTGGTAATTGCTGTGCAAGTGTCTCGGGAATAGAAGTGAGATCACTGGACCATGATCCCAATGCAGCTACCACACCACCAGAAATAGACACGACCAAGAAAACTTGAACAAAGAGAAATGCAAAATAGTAAGTTTGAACCGTACACTGCTTCTCATTGCCAGTCTGTGAACCTTGAACAAAAGCAAGATATCCCAAAATCGTCGGTACTAGCGATAGCAAGATACTAAGCACAAGAGCGGGCAAAACACCTGCTACAGCTTGGAGAACCTTCTCGGGAACAACCTGAAGCCAATGAAGCCAAGATGTGGTCTTAACAAGCGAGGAGATCTGAGATAAAGTTGATGTCCATGCAACAGGAGTAGACCATAACAGAATCATACCAAAAACGACAGCAGAAATGACAGCGGTCCTGAGCCAAGCCTCCCACCATTTGATAGACATGTTATCCCAAAGGACATCATTAGGGGAGATCTCAACAGTACGCGGTGCCATTTGCTTAGGGACGTGATAGGTAACAGACTGACATGCCATATGTGCAGCTACCTGATGGTTGAATTGAATAAAAGCAGAGTTCATGAGTGGAAATCTTTCTGGGGACTTTTGATCCAGTTCAATCTCAAGGTTGAGTTGAGCGAGTTGCTCCCGACACCAAAATATCGTATCAACCTTTGGGCTGATTCCAGGCATGCCGAAGAACCAACTAGGGGTCCAACTGAATCTGGGTAACCTATGGGTTGGCCTATCCTTTTCTTTTAGATAATTTTGCCAAGCCGCGTTTGTCTCGTTTTCGTTGTATTCTTCGTTAAAAGCTTTCGGATATTCGACCCCTGGGCCATCATCTGTATGTAGAAAGGGGATGCTGGATTTGATTACCTCCCAGGCACTCTTCTTTGCTGGGGCACCCGTTGCAACTCTCGATCTTGGCCCATCGCCTTGAGTGAGGGGGAATTCTTCGTCGTCTTCGTATCCTGTTGGAATTGGGGAAGGAAATCCGCCAGCGGGACCTGTCCAGAATTTCCACCAATTATTAGTTTGGAACGCATCATTGGCTCCGTCCCCTCCGTATTGGAAGCCGTGTCTTCGTACTGTGTTACCTGCTAACTTTCTCTCGCCTTCGTAGCTTCGAGGATCTCGATCTGACGTTGAAGGACGATCTTCTGCTTCTCCCTGTTGCTTTTCCGGATCCCGATTCTTTTCATCATCCACTCCAGATCCATATGGTTTTGGCGGTGGTGGTCGTTGTCTATATCTTCCATATTGATCATATTCGTCATCCTCCGGTATCGATTGCGCACCAAGATTTACAAAACCATTACCATTGGTTTCTCCAATCGTCTCATCCAGTTCTCTTCCAAGGCCCATGACACCCCCAAAAGCAGTACCTCCAGCTTTTCCAACAGCGCCTACGCCTTTGTTCAGTCCTTGTCCCACTGCCTCAAAGCCTTGGCCCACGGCAGCAAGTGGATTACCGAGCTTGAATTTCGAACCTTGTCGCTTATGCTGGCGAGCTTCTTCCTGCCTTTCCAATTCTGCCTCCTCATCTATCGCTTCATCTATTGTATGAGGAGCCTCTTCGCCTGTAGCTATTCCACCACTTTGAGCAAGTCTCTCCGCCTGTTCGTTTTCGTATTTGATTCTTTGTGCTTTCTCTTCCTTTGTCAGAGCTTTTCGGTTTCTGTTATTGACCTTCTCATCCTTTGCTGCCCGTTTCCTCTGGGCTTGCTTTGCTGCCCTCACCAACTCCGTCTCGGCCTCCTCCAGCTTCAAATGGATCTTGTCCCGAAGATGGATTTTCGTCAACAAGTCATCATAATTTCGATTAATCCAGATATTCCTAATTCCTCCCGGGAAGACATCGTACAGTCCAGCGAGCGCTTCTTTCGTGAGCCATTTGTCTGGGATTGCACTAACAAGAACAGTTGTCGCAGAAGCTCTGAGTCGATGTTCTGCCGACGTCAAATAATCTTGTCGCACTTTGATATACACTCGTAGCTCCGCAAAGAACACACCGCAAACCCAAATAATGGTCAAAAGGGCAAGTACCAGATGTGCCCAGTATCTATTGGTTTTGCTAGGCTGTACATTCGTCCAAGCTAACTGATCCAATCCAGTTACATTTGGATTCGACGAGACTTCTGTGGAATTTTTGTCGTTTGCATATTGTACAGCCCAGTCGCCACCTCTCCCACCAATATAGTTCATAGGCACAAGAATTGGTATTATGATCACGGCCATGGGTATGAAGATAACCAGAAGAGTTTGAAGGTATCGTAGAAAAAAGTAGGCGTCCAGTCCACATTTGTTGATAACTTCTCGATCTCGGAATTGAAATATGGTGAACAGCCATCCCCATGGACTTCTCGGAGGAGGTTCCGTTCGTTCTTTTTCGGGGACTAAATAAGTTTTAGGTTTACTGAAATTCAGTCAGTGAAGTCCTTGAAGGATATGCGTCCGCACATTGCAGATTGCAGATTGCCCCATGGTGAATCTCCTCAAACTTACAATATTCTTGCAAGCTTATTCTTCAAGAGCATAAAAGCTATCATCTGTATACCAAAAATGATAGAAGAAGATCCCAATGCCGTGAGAAGAGCCACAAGACTGATACCCTCAGAGCCTTGCGCCCTAGTGGCTTTGGTTGATGTTGCGGCGTCAGAAGTCACCGAGGGATCGCTACTCAGGACTGAAGACATGTTGAGTAACGTTTAACAACTTATTGAAGCATAAGAGAAATTATGTATTGTTCCACCTAGGATGAGGTGGTGGTATTCAATGGAGTTCGTGATATCATGAATAGGTCAATAGGTCGGTATGAGTGTCGATGCGATATTAATGTCAATGTCGATATCAATGTCGATATCGATGTCAATGACAATGTCGTCGATGTATGTAAAAGTCGTAAAGGAGGGATTAGAAGTTAGAAGAACAGAAAAAGAATGTTGTAAGAAAAATAGAAATACAAATACAAATGAATCATAACCAGTATCTGTATCTGTATCTGTATCTGCGTCTCCTGGAAAGGCGATAGTACCTAAAATCAATGCAAAACACCGGTAAATGTTTACTAGGTATTTAGAAATAACCCTGCTTGCCTTGTTTGTTTGTCTTGCCCCAGTGGTCCAGTAAGATTTTACAATATGAATGAACTCCTAGGTATGAGTATGATATCCATAATTCCAAGGAAACGATTCGATCCATTAATAACGTTAAAATCGACATGGATACTGTATAAACCATATCTTGATTCATTTTCTTCTTCATTTGTGATTACTGATGATGTCACAAACCACAACTTTACTCAATCTCAGACTTCTCAGTGGTCAGAAAACTCAAAATCCCATATTAAAACGTTAAAACGTTATATAGCCGAGACAAGATTACCATTTGCCACGATTCTCTTAAATGTTGTTTCATATTTTTCCCAATCGATCCCAATCATAGGTAGGTATCTATCTTTCTCATCTTATTCAGGGGAATGCGCTTAAATATCTTCATCGCATTATTAAAAGCTTTATTAACCGTTCAACCAACACCATCCATTCAATTAGATTTAAACATTCAAGAAATGATACTCAGTACGAGAGGCGTTTATTTTATTTTAACAAAGCTAAATAAAATACTAAATAAGAATTTTATTTCTATCTCCATTTCCATCTCCATTTCTATTTCCATATTACCTATAACATTCTATTCTATTCTATTCTATTCTATTCTATTCTATTCTATTCTATTCTATTCTATTCCATTCGATACAATTGTTTCTCTCTCTACTACACGCGAGGTACACTTATATGAATATACAGCCACTGGCATTCTAATTCTTATTCTTATTCTAATTCTTCATATCCATCCATCAAGCTACTTGTCGCCATTGAGCATACATATACATACTAAATATATCGAACAACTAACTCGTATTTGATTCAATTCAATCCCAAGCATTCATTGGTTAAGAGATGCCATCCATGATCCACTACTTATTTACCCCAGCCATACATACAGCACAGCACAGGGGGCAAGCAACCATGAAATCTTTGAATTTTGGATTCTATTTATCCCCTGATTATATACTTTGAAATATACTAAGTAATTCAAACGCTGTAAATACATTTGTTTGTACAGTACTGTATGTAGAACTTTCGAATCGGAATTGAAATATTATTATCATTAGTGTCAAGAAGAGCACCATTTATTAATCTTTGTGAATCTAATATATAAGCACAAATATCTCTCTATGCAAACCACCTTCTATAAATCCAACCCTTTTCCCCTTACCCCAATACAAACTGCCACCCCTATATACAATTCCCAGAACTTCCCCAAGCTTTCTCTTCCTCTCCATTCATGATTCAACTACTAGGAGCCATCTTTCTAATAGCCACACCCACACTCGATCCATCATCCATTTCATCCGCATTCCATTTCAATTGCCATATACCATCCGACACCGGCGTCGCATAGAAACTCGATGAGATCTGCGAGGTATCGGGGCTCTTCCACATAGCCCAGTTACCAAAAGCGAGGAAACCTCTTGTCGCAACGGTTGATGAATCAGATGCAGTGAACCCAACATTCGTGAGAGCTTTGCTGGAGGGGTTGATAAAGAGTGCTGAGGATTTTGAGTTGGTGAGAGTGACGTTGGCAGTGGTTGGTGTGATGATCCATTCACTGGATGAGCTTGGTGCGACTATGAGAATGTTAGTTTGATTGTTGTATAAGAAGGTAGGTGTAGTTGATGGAAATTCCTACATGTGATGTTTGTGTTGACGGTGGATCCGGATGGAATTTTGTTACCGACAAATGCATTTCCTATAGACTTAGTTTAGAAAAACAGATGAATCGTAGTACGATCGTCAGCTTACCATCAGAGTAATATATTGGAAGTCCACCAATACCGGTACCATACGCATACAAATGGAAGGAGCTGGTAGCACGTTTTTCAATGACTGCAGCAGATGCCGTCAATCCTCCGAAGAGGAATAGGAGAGAAGATATAAATTTCATCTTGTTTGATCTTGTGAAAGTTGTGTGTATGGGTGAACGAATACAAGTCCTTGTAACAAAAGAAGATGAGATGGAAGATAGCAGATGGCGAATGAAAACAGAAGAAAGGTCTCTTGAGAAGCAGCAACTAACCTGGGAACACAAAGATTTCACTGTTGATGTTATATCGATAAGAAAAGTAAACGCCAGGGCATAAAAGAAAAGCTCGGTGCCGATTCTCAAAGATATTTCATACGCTCTAGCATGCACAGGGTAAAAGCTATCGAAAATACCAAGAACTTCCTTGATAGCTGCTAGTCAGGAGTCAGGAAGTATCTGCATCTGTGGAAGCTTGGACTGTAATGGGAATAGTTACACAACACAAATCGATAACGCGGGATGACAGAGTTGCGTGGCTACAGTCAGTGCAATGGCACGCAAGGGCTCGTTTTCGTCCGCCTGGCCAATCTTTCGGATCAACTAGTTGAAGCCACATGGTGGTTCAGCTTGATATAGAAAACCTGCAGTTATAAGCGGCCAAACTGTGAGAAATGTTCCGTTTGTGAAATGATACCTGGTCCAGTATTCTACTTCTAAGAACACAAATACGACCTACACGGAAAGATCCTTCCTTGAGGAATGCGAAAATTTCAACTCCAAGAGTATAGAATAACACTAGGCAGAAAGTTTTCCCAACCGTGCGAGCCATTGTGGAGAGTGGAGAGAGTGGACAGGAGCGGGAAGGAGATCTCCGTAGGGTAGAGCAGGAAAATAAAGCGCACGGCGATGCCATGTCATGTTTCGACTTCTCGAGATATGAGATGATCAACACGAGATGCGATGAACTGGGTATGGGACGAAGATAAGTTGGAGGATTGTTTGGAAGAATAGATGCAGATGAAGATGCATATCCAGATCCAGATATCGGTTACTCGGATCTAATAAGATGTGAAGAGTGTTAATGGTAATGGTGATGGTGATGGTGATGGTGGACTGGTGGATTTGTCAAAGAAGAAGTATGTTGTGTTTGTTCAAATATTATCATTGTTGAAATGGCTCGAGGATGGGATGGGAGAGGATAGGATTGGCTGGGGACGGGATGAATGCGATGCAATGCTATGCGATGCAATCATGCAATGAGAAGAAATGGGATAGAGGATACCGGACAGAATGAGGTCGGACAAATCGGAGAATGTTTTCCCCGAGTTACTACGGAGCACGCACCATTGCGAACCAATTATATCGGATGTATTTGTGTCTATATATAATAATAACACCGGTACAACTCCATAATATAATTCCATGATGCTATGATTTCTATGATTTCTGTGATGATTTTTCGACGATTGATCATTGATGATTGATGACATTCCTTCCGTCTCTCAGACCCACGTTTCAAAAAAACAATTTCTCTCTCTTTTATCCCCTCTCATCGGACTCATCCTCTCTCTTCCCTTCTCTTCAGAGTCTTCACTCCCCCGAGACTCTGAGTCCTCCCCCTCCCCGGGCTCCCCCTTCTTAAAGTCCCTGACTCCCCTCCCATGCTCCCATGCTCCCACCGTTCTTCCGCATCCATTACCTACCCACCTTTTTCTCGAATCCTTCCTTTGATATCTTCAGCTTAGACACATTACGACCCACGAGGTACGATACCGACATACCGAGTGCTTCCTCTTATTCGTACACGTACCGTACCCAACAGTCATGAATGATCGTCCAAGGATCTCCCACTACTGCATGTCAAATGGAGAAGACATAAAGTCAATGCACGTTGATGAGTTCAACGACCAATTTTTTTTGCAAGAGTGCATAACACCAAGGATTCAGTCATCACTCTGCTGTTATTAATATCTCTTTTTGACGTAAAGATAATTTTTTCATTTGAAATTTTTTATTCATACTCGGTGTGCATCGAAATCTCTCAAAATCTCCGATGTACAACACAAGCAAGGACGGTTTGATGAAGGAATGCATGTCAACAGTTAGACAGAGACATTGAGGTACTACACTACACATACCGGCACTGGTACAATACTAAATTACCATGCGCAGCGAGCCATGAAGATGCCACCTGAGATGAAGTTTTTTCGTTGTACGATAAAACCAAAAAGGAAATATGGAACTTTCACAGCTCTCTTCATTCGGAATGGCTCCTCTCTCATTCGACCCAGGACGTACGGTAGGTTGGTTACCAGTCTAAGTCAAGTAAATATCGGAATGTTTCGATCAATTATTCGTACATATAAAACATTTTGAAGATGAATGCACAGACAAGTGGAAGATGCGTTCTCAACAGAGTTAAGACTCAAGACTCAAGACTCAAGATCCTTCGCATACAACGGTAATACAGATACAGAATCAGACGCAGCCACCCTTTTCCAGTTCAAATTTGTAAGTTTGTCATAGCTGATATCCCATTTTCGTATTTTCCAAGTATGTACTGTACTGTACTGTAAGTTTTTATCTAACCTACCTATCTGACACCCAATGCGGCTGGGTCATCCATTCATTGTTGACTACTGAGCTTTTCAGATATTCGTCCCAATACTTTTTAAGGCCAGATCTCATGGTGATCGAAGTTGCTGAAGCTTATTCCAACCAACAGTCAATCTAGTGCTACTAGTGTCTCTAGAAAGTCCCGAAATCGCCGCTAAGATAGTAGCCTATCTGGTAGTACGAGTTGGGCATAGGTTAGTGTATCCGGGTTTGCACACTTTCTGCCAGCACGAGTAACTTGACATACAATTGACAATTGTGGAGATATATATATATATGGTGGATCACATTAGGATCAAAATTATATGTCTCGAGTCTTTTTGGAGCTTCGTATGGATACTATACCAACTTCCAAGTAGAGGACCAAGGTCTTTAGCAAACATAAATTCGGGTGCTCGAGGGCAATGGACTTGAACTAAGTGGCACCAAGTTTTTTTTGGCGAACCTAGTTCATTTTGCTAGCTTCTACTTCTTTCTTGTTTTCGATATTGGGAAATTATTCTTAAGAAGGATTCCTTCCCACCTGTGTAACCTCATTCTTCATCATCCAATACAACTTCACAATCTAATGCAACTTACCAATTCAATATAACTACACAACTACACATCCCATCACAAACACATAGTTTAACACAACTTGTTGTATTTCTTTCCCTTCTACACCCGCTTCTGTTCTACTTTGAAATCCTCTTTCGAGGATCACAAGGACCGTTCATCCTCCAACTCAAATTTCAAATACTTAGAAAGCCTCATAGAGGTTTTCATCATGCGTTTTTATATTCTTTTGGCCTTGTGCCTTTCAATTGGTCAAAACCAGGCAATCCCTACTTTTGGATTTGCCAGTCCAATTCCTGCTCTTCAAGCAGATATCCTTAAAATCATCAACGAAGTCGAGTGCTTGCTCAGCACAAGGATTTCTACTATACCCTCAATCCTTACCAAGGGCAACGTCAATGCTGTAACATCAAATAAGTGTTCAACAACGGCCAAAACTACCGCCACTAGTGCGGTAAAAACATCCGTCTCTTCTCTTCAATCTGTAGCTCAATCTAAATGGAGCTCACTTCAGGGTTTGATGTCTACGACCACTTCAATTCCCCCCATTCTTACCAGGAGCGTCACTATCAGTTCGACATCGACGGCTACAACCACTTCGAACGTCAAGTCAACATCTACAGCTGTGGAGATAACGTCCATATCACCCTCAGCCACTAGCCAAACGTCTTCTTCGGCGGCCTCCATTTCATCAGCATCCTCTTCATCTGCGTCTTCTGCGTCTTCTGCATCAGTCTCATCATCAACCAGCAAGACCGTAAGCTCAACTTTAGCAGCAGGAACTCCATGTGCGGGCAATACCGCCGCCGATAGATCAAAATGGTGTGACTATTCTACCAGCACCGATTGGTACAATGAGGTTCCAAACACTGGTGTCACTCGAGAGGTAAGAAATTTCTCATAAAGCAGCCTTTGAATAACTCTAATCTCATATTATAGTACTGGTTCAATGTGGAAGATGGCACTGCATCACCTGACGGGGTTGCAAGATATGTTCAAACGATCAATGGAAGTATCCCAGGCCCAACGATCATTGCTGATTGGGGTGATAATGTTGTGGTGCATGTGACAAACAATCTCCCTGTCAATGGTTCAACTATCCATTTCCATGGTATGCGTCAAAACTACACCAATCAAAATGACGGAGTTCCATCAGTTACCCAATGCCCTATTGCATATGGAGATACGTATACCTACAAATGGAGAGCTACCCAATATGGTTCATCCTGGTACCATTCTCACGTTGGACTTCAAGCATGGGAGGGTGTGGCAGGTGGTATCATCATCAACGGTCCTTCCACGGCCAACTATGATGAGGATAAGGGAACGGTCTTTCTTACTGATTGGGGTCACACTACCGTTGATGAACAATATCAATATGCTCAAGTTTCTGGTCCACCGACCATGGATACAGGTCTCATCAACGGTACCAATGTTTTTGGAGCAGATGGTGCTAGCAACCAGACTGGTTCACGTTTCTCGACTAGTGTTACGTCAGGTACTTCATACCGATTCCGTCTCGTAAATGGTGCTATTGATACTCAATTCAAGTTCTCCATCGATAATCACACTTTAACTGTGATGTCGATGGATCTTGTTCCCATCGTACCTTACGCAACTGACGTTCTCAACATCGGTATTGGTTAGTATTCTGCCTCACCCTTTGTCATCAAACCCATCTTTTACTAACAACTTTCTTCCCAGGCCAACGCTACGATGTAGTCGTAACCGCAAATCAAGCTGCCATCGCCTCTGATTTCTGGATCCGCGCCATTCCCCAAGCTTCCTGCTCCGAGAATGACAACGCCGATAATATCAGAGGTGTCCTCCACTACGGCAGTTCAACCGGTCTCCCTACCACAACCGGCTACGCCTTCACCGATGAATGTATCGACGAATCGCCCTCCTCACTCATTCCATATCTCCCCAAAACCGTCTCCGCCGCCTCTCTCACCCCGGAAGAAGCCGTAACCATAGCCCAGAACTCCGACAAGCTCTTCCGATGGTACCTCAACAACTCGACCTTCGTCAGCGACTGGGAAGACCCCACTCTCCTCATGGTGCACAAAAACGCCACGACCTTCAGTCCCGCCAATAATCTCGTCGTCCTCCCCAACGCAAACGAATGGGTCTATCTAATCATCCACTCTGACCTTCCCGTCCCCCACCCAATCCATCTCCACGGCCACGATTTCTTCGTCATTTCCCAACAAAATACCCCCTACGATGCTAGTACCGCAGCCGCGACATACAATCTGAATAATCCTCCGCGCAGAGACGTGGCGATGCTTTTGTCGGGGGGTTACCTAGTTCTAGCGTTCGAAACGGATAATCCCGGGGCATGGTTGGCGCATTGTCATATTGGGTGGCATACGAGTGAGGGGTTTGCAATGCAGTTTTTGGAGAGGGAAAGTGAGATTCGGAATAAGGGGATTTTGGACCCGGAGGTCTTGCAGGGGACGTGTGATAGGTGGAATGGGAATGCGATTGTGCAGGAGGATTCGGGGGTTTAGTGAGAGTCTTTTGGGTTTGGGTTTGTGATTTGTGTTTAGATTATTAGATATCCTATTTATTTTTATTTTCTTAGGTTTAGGTTTGATGGAAAAGGAATTATATTCGAGTTATTGAATAGAGATAATTTTAATATATATATACCAGTACTTATATAATGATTTGGTTTATACTAGTAATAGAATAGAACTTTTAAAATTATTTATTGATAATCTAATCCAAATACTCGTAATATTATAAAGATTTTTCTCTTTTTCTAAGTTAGTAAACTCATATTCATCTCTCTCTTTCTCTCTCTCTCTCTCTCTCTTTCTCTCTCCACCCCCCATCTCTAAACCCTCCACTCTCCACTCTCGAATACCAACCAACAACAATTATAATTCTCCTCGAGTACTCATATATGCACATCCCACCCATCTCCCATCTCCCATCTCTCAACTTCCAGCCCCATGTACATCAACAGCCTTAAACCAACAATACAATTCACCAATTTAGGGTACAGTGTAAAGTGTATAAAGTGTAAAGTGTAAAGTGTAAAGTGTAAAGTGTAAAGTGTAAAGTGTATATATAGTGTAAAATATGTATATAGTATAAGAGAAGGAAGGAGAGAAGGAAGGAAAGGAGGGAAGAAGGAAAGGAGGGAAGGAGAGAAGGTAAGTCACACACATACTCCGTACTGTACGAGTACAATGGAGCTTTTTTTTAGATCATGCCAGTGGCAGTGTTGTTATAGATGTACTCGAGTAGTGCTTTGAAACTTTGCTAATGGGGTATTGATACTTTCATAGTGAACAAGTACTCGAGTAGATACGGGATAGATTTGATATTGTAAGGGGTAATGTAAATATGTTGTTGTTGTTGTTACAGTATAGATAGTACTGACATTTTCATATTTAAACTATATTTTCTATCAATTTACTCGTTGTATACTCTCAATCATACTCTCAAATATACTTGTATGATATATTCATTTCATAGGAAATCTTTTAGTATAGTATATGGATTTTGTTAATGTACCCAACTAAACTAACCTTCCTTTTCCTAAAATGAAACTTAGTTCTCCCACCTATACACATTACACTATACACTTCACATTATATAATAACCCAATAATCTTAAATAAACCGACTCTGAACTCTGAACTCTAAACATCAATCAAATTTTCTTTCTTTTCTTTTCTTTTTTAAAAGAACTTTTAGGAATATTAGTTATTAGTACTAGTAGAGAGAGAGAGAGAGAGAGAGAGAAAGAGAAACAGGGAAAAGAAAAGTGAGACAGAGTGGATTCCATACTGATATACTATACTATTATACTATACTAATTAATAGTCAAGTATATCCATCCATCCATCCATGTATGCATTTCCATCTCTTCCCATACATTCATGCACTCACGATTGTATAGCGAAGCTCTAGTTCAAGCTTAGGTTAAGGTTAAGGTTAAGCTCTACGAGTATTCGCGCATATCATATCTCACAATTCATATCAAAGCATATCACGGTATAGTGGTATAATAAAGCGTAGTATAGCATATCAAGAAAAAGCAAAGAAAAGTACACTGTGAACTTATAAAGCGCATTCCCATTTCCATTCCCATTCCCCAAACCAAAACACCCCCAGTTCACTCCCACTCTCGCTCTTACCATACATACCCTACCCCTCACTTCATTTCCCTTCATCACTTCATCTCCCATCCCCACATCTCCCCTCCCCCATCTCCTCATCATCCCTCATCCCTCACCCACCCTCCCTCTTCCCCCTTACCCCTTCCCCTTTCCCTTCCCTTCCCTTCCCTTCCCTACCCTACCCTACCCCCCTCCCCCTTCCCCCTTCCCCCTTCCCCTTTTCCCCTCCCCTTTTCCCCTTCCTCAAACCCCCCACCCCACCCTTAAGAAATAAAACACAGCGCCCCCAACAAAAGATAAAACACCGCCAACGGAAAAACCGCCAACCCCACTCGATTTTTCAGCACCCCACTTCCCCCCAAAATACTAATGCCCGCTGCCATACTCCATGCTACCAACACGATATATATCGGGATTCGAGGGATGGGGTGAAGACCGAGGGCTGAGAGGAGAGCAGCTATGACGAGTGGGAAGAGTGTGTAGCCTATTATGCAGACGGATTGGGCGAAGGAACTATTTGAGAAAGGAGGGGGTTAGTTGGTTGGTTGGTTGGTTGGTTATATGTGTATATTGCGGGGAGATATGGGGATATGGGAATATGGGGTCATGTGAATATGGGGAAAGGAGGGGAGGGAGAAAAGAAAAGGACAAAAAAGCAAAGAAAAAGAAACCAACTCACATATTCCCCCCCAACAACTTAATCTGCACCGTAACCACCGCCTCCCCCAACCAAACCAAAGCAAAAACCCCACTAAAAACCTTACTCATCTGATCCCCCCTCGCCCTAAAACTCAACAACAGCGCCAGTCCCAAACAAAAAACAAGCGGACCCCAAAGATCCCAATCGCGCAACCCCTCACTCATACCATTACCCGCCACCAAACCCTCTACATCCGTGACTCTGCCAATCATTCCCCTTAACTCTTCTCTCGCACCTTGCATGCCATTTTCGCGAAACTGAGAGTATGCGCCGCGAAGACCGTGGGAATCAATCATGGAGCCCCCGAAGAGATATTTGGGGTAGAGTACTTCGCGCATTTTGGACCAGATGGCTTGGAGATCGCGAGAGAGGGTTTCCCAGACGGATTCGTCAAGGGTGTTAGTGGGAGCGCGACGGTCTTCGCCAGGGATGCGGGAGGTGAGGTAGTTTTGGTTGGAGGTGGAGGTTGAGGATTGGGTTTGTGCGAGGTTGCTTGTGAGGGGGGTGCGGGAGGTGGTGGTGTTTAGGGGATCGTCGAGATCATCGAGGGTTGCTGGGTGGATGTTAGTTTATAGTTGTAGTGGTGTTTGATGGAATGGCAGTATAGTGATGTAAAGGGATAAAAAAGAAGGGACAAATATACCATCATCAGGATCAATCAAATCTTCCTCCTCAGCATGTGGTTGATTATAATGTTGGTAAGGATTAGAAGAAGAAGCCATGATTTCTTTCTTTCTTCTTTCTCTCTGCTATCGCGACTGAAGTTCCGTTCTTATACAGACGGGATCCAGTAACTTATAATCTGGTGAAGGTTGTAGACCGTAACCTCAATCCCGTAAAGCCAATACCCCAATTTCCCAATCTCCCACTCTTCCACGTAAACCGCAATACAGAGGAATCTCCCAGAGTAAAAAAAATCGAAACGAGTGTGCGAGCTTGCCTGCGTGTGCAAATGTGTGATATAATGCGACAGCAATGTTTCTAGCAAACAAAGTAGGAGGTAATTCACGATAAGCTCAATGAAGCTATCAATGAAGCTATCCATCCATTTGGAAATTCCACCGTATCCTTAAGCTACGCTACTGCAATCCAATCCTAGGTTTTACGCTATTCTTCTTATCGTTAGACTTCCCGATCTGAATAGAGTCCAAGCTTTTATATAACTATGAGTATTTATTTAGATATATATATTCGAGCTATATACTCGAGTATATTCGAGCTTATATCGTTCTAGTATTTACTATAATAATAATAATAAAAGAAATAATACTCAAATATCTAGACATCTAATGATTTGAAATGGTTTTATTATAGAGTAGATAAATCAAAGAGTGTATTAATTGTATAGTATTGTATATATAGTAATATATTAACCATACCAAATACCAAGCACCAAATACCAAGCACCAAAATGAATCATAAAAGAATCACATTATAAACCGATATTCCTCTCCTCTCTTTCCTCACTCCTCCTCATCCCCCAAAAAATAATATAATTGGTGTCAACTAATTCCTTCCGAAAAGAAAAGAAAAAAAGAAAATCGATAGATAAAGTCCTCGACAACCCGCCATTATCGAGGGTATAGAAGGATACCATGTTTTCAACAAGACTTATTGCTTTATGTATGTATGCATGCTTGTGTGTTTGTACCGCCGTCACTAATTGTGAGTGCCGTTGCCGTTACCGTTACCGTTGTGGCCATTTCCATTGTGGCCATTTCCATAACTCCCATTTCCATTTCCATTCCCGTTTCCATTCCCATTATTGGTAGATTGATAAGCACGTGGAGCATATCCATCCATTTCCCCCATCCCACCACCACCAACACCACCAGTCTTTCTTCTCTTCTCTCTTCTCTCATTTCTCTCCTCTCTAAAAACATGACCGAGTGAATGACCCGTTTCCTTTCTCTTCCCCAGTCTTCTCGCCCAATCCACCTCGGCCTGATTAACCGGTGGTTCCATTTCCGTCGGACCAAAAGGATACCAAACGGGAAGAGCCGGTGGTTGAGATTTGGGTCCTGGTTTCCCATGGCCATAGGCCCCAATGTTTCCATTGATACCGCACAAAGCCCAAGCGAAGACGGCCACTTCTCGAATGGATTTGAGAGATTCTTCCTTGGAAGCACCGGGTTGGATGGGGGAGGCGTCGGGACCATGGACGAAGCGATCGTTTTGATCGGGTTCAAGAACATGTGGAGCAATGGGATTCACACCCCATGGTGCGATGGCGTGATGCTCAACTGGTGATGCCGCAGGAGCTTTGCGCAAAATGACGACCAATCCATCAGAAGTACAAGAAATGACGGCTTCCAATTGGATGGATTGAAATGCAGGTAAAACCTCACGAGTTGGTGGATTGTCAGCAGATCGAATGCGATTGTTTCTTCTGATAACTCCTCCTCGGGTTGGTTGAGATGAAGATCTCATGGTGGATGGAGATGATGAGCTGTTGTTTCTACCAACTGTACCACCCTCACTCTCATCCTCACTTCCACTGATATCACTGACATCATCCAGAGCTTGGTTGAGTTCCTCAATCTCATGAGGATGACGAGGATCACGACACCAAAAGATGAGATGAGCGATGGAATCATTTCCTTTGGCACTCTCGATGGCGGCAATGGATTCGGTCAAGCATTGTTGTTGAATGCACTCGTAAAAGCTTTTCCCGACAATGTAGTCCTTGCTGATACCAAGAACGGTTTCAATGGCATCAGTGGAATACATGACTGTCAAGCTTCGAGTGAAACGATTGAGAATGAGCGCTGCTCGTGGTTCACGTGTAGAGCTGTCCGTGTTCGGCACACGAAACTTGAAGGAAAGATTCTCCAACATGTGATATCTCAAATCCTTTGGAGGAGCAGTGAAGCGTTTGACAAGGCTTTTGGATTGTTCTTTTTCTACATCATTGTAAGTGAGATGCCAAATAAATGGTAGGAGAGGAAATCTTACTGATTGCTCCACGAATACTATCCAAGTAGTCTTGATTCTCACCCTCGGGTTGATTATAGACACTGGTACAAGCAACCAGAACATCATGAACAACAGTGAACACGCATTCGCACGTGATGAAAGATCCATCCTCTCTCTTAATGGCAGCATGGTAAATAACCGCAGCCTTTTCCAAGTGAATACCCGCACTGATCTGGCCGCGAACAAATGGGGCCTCTTTCTCGGAGAAATAATCGAACCAGGGATGTCCCACAACATCTTCAGGTTCATACCCAAGGATGTCAGAGATAGACTCCGAAGCAAACATGATGTTGGCTTCGGGAGTGAGGTCTGATTACAAGGAAGCATTAGCAAGAATTTTGACTGAACTAATGATACAGATGTCATGATAGGAATGATTGATTTCAAGTAACAACTCACTATGGATGGTCATGAAAGTAGTCTCCATTTTGAAGAATCTGGCGTTTGTATCTCTAATAAGATGCTCAGTTCTTTTAGGAGACGAAAAGGGTCTTGAATAAACCCTTTGAATGGAACTTTGCGAAGATTTTTGAAATGTGATGAGATTAAAATACAACAAATTGAGGGGGAAAATGTGAAAGTTATATAGAAAAGTTGATCACGAAGTGTACTACAACTTTCGTATCAATAATGAACATTATAACCGGGGTTATAGAAGGAGATCGTCGATGAATAGGTCTGACATCAGGGTACATGCTTGCTTGATATTGACAATGCAAGTTAAACAACCAGTGGTGGTTCAAGAACCCGTAGGTATGTGTGTCTGGGTGTGTTTGGGTGTGTGATGGGTTTAACCCCGCGAAGCCACTTGATTCAAATTTGTTACTTGGAGCTTTGATCCCGAAATGCAGTGAGACTCTTTGAATGCAGATGTATGTATGTATGTATACTCGAGTATATGCTGATAAATTGTTAAAGATAATTGCATGAATCCGGGGGCGAACAAGCGAACAAGCGAATGAGGAAATGTAGAAAGTGCTCTGCGGGGGGTAGGTTTTTTTCCCCGGGATCCAGTTGATCGACCGGGTATGAAAATGCAGAGTTTTGAAGCTGCTACTACGACGACTCAAGGTATTGGGTATTTACCGTTGTCACGCTGTCACGCTGTCCCGCAGTCACAAGGGTTTTGATGAGGCGTGTTCGGGACTCGGAAATAGGTAAACTTGAGTAACCAAACCACAATCAATCAAAAGCCCAACGCCGTGGAAGAATAAGAATAGGTTGTGTTCATGTGTCCAAGCAAAGACATTTCGGGGTTATGGGGGCGCCATTTGAGGCGTTCTGTGTAATGCTGTCGCACACACACAATAGGAGGGAATTGGTACGATTTGAATGTTTTCTTTTTTTTTGAGTTTTGACTTTTGAAGTGTATGAAGTGTAAAACATAGAGAATTCTTTGTTATTGTGGATTGTTGTTGATTGATTCTTGTAGGACGAAAAAGGTGTACGAGGTTGAAATATTCTTGAGAGTTTCTTTCCTGGGACACAAAGAGAAAAGAAGGCTAGGCCGGCCAGAAGAGTTTTAGTGTGTACCTGCATCAAATAAGTTGTGGGGATATAAATGAAGAAGGGTCATTATCAGTAGTTTGATGGTTTGGTAAGAATTATTATACCTCATTAGGATATTATTATATGAATTTATTACACTACAGTAGAATGAAATCCAAGTAATAATACCTCGATTATATACCGGTACATGTTTCCATTCAAATAGTCGGCCTCCACGGCAGTGGCCCCCGCAGGGCCAGCGGAGCGTCTTTTTAGATTTATTATATTGGATATTGGATACTGACTGTAATAAAAGATTATTTTGATGAATGAAATACTATACTCGCTTTGATAACCCAATATATTACTCTGTTTTATATCTTCATCTATTAGTAGGAAAGATCCAGGAAACTTGAGGAACATCTGATATAGTATGGCTAAGGATAGTGAGTGTCTTTGAATGGAAAAGCCATTTTGTCTGTCTACCAGTGGCTTTCAATGGCTTTTCAGGTTTCCCTGCTTTTCCCTCTATCAAACTCATTTCCTATGGCTTAATCTTTTTGATAATAAGAAGCCATATATATATACATCATTCTCAGCTCCGCCTCTGCTTCTTTAAGTAATTGATAATGCCATACATATTCCATATGATCCCTCCTGTTCGTTATATCAAAATATATTAACGGGAATAACCAACCTAACCCACGGAATCATCAACTAACACCCGGCCATACCATTATACCATACCATAACCATACCATACCATGTTATGAAACCTAACACCAAGTAAATGACGAGTGAGAAATAACGAGGATATGGTATAAGTTATACAGTACTAGTACTAGTACTTTATACAGTACGGAATAAGAAGAAGCATGATATATTCGGGGAGGACAGTACTCGTTATACTCGAGTAGAATAGAAGACTAATAGATTGAAAAACTTCTTTTTATTCTTGATGGATTATTACCGGTTTTGAAATCCTTCAGCTTAAAGATTATAGCTTAAAGGTATAAATGAATATATCGTTTAAACTTAAAATTTGAAGGAGAATAAGGAAGGATATAAGAATATGAGAATATGAAGGTTCTAGTTTATACTTTAATAGGCTATAATAGACCTATATTCTACCTACATATTTACACCCAACCTAAACCCAAAGAAGCTACCACCGCTAAAAAAAAAAAACCACTTCTCCCTTCAAAATACCCCCACCACCCATCCACCTCCACCTTCACCTCCACCTCCACCAAAAACCTCCGACCTTCAAATTCTATTAACCAACAACATTGCTTTGATGCAACGAAAATATCTACATTCAATCAGATTCGACCACATATTGAAAAAAAAAGAGGTAAGCAAGACAAAGTTAGTTTTGATAACCTTTACTTGTATCAAATAATCTTCCGCTGCACTTATGCTTTAGTACTTGTTACTGTTACTGTTACTTGTTACTTTGTTACTCGTACTCTCACTATCAATCTCCTACACCGACACCGACACCGGCACAGTTTAAGTTTCTCCGCAAAGTTGGTAGATTAGAGGAGTTCAGAAGTTACAAGTTACACAATGAAAGGACCCAGGCCCATGGGAATTTCTTTGAAATTGGAACTTCTCGTAATGGTATAATGGGGGGCTTGACTTGGCTTGTCACGCTTTGACAACTGCATTCATTCATAACCCTTACCTACCTTCACCTCTCACAATCTTCAACCTCTCACAATCATCACGTGTGCTGATCCTTTTTATTATTATAGAATTAGATCTCGATGAGAATTCCCTTTCTGGGATACATTACATGAATTCGGCATAAACTAATGCTCGGTCGGGATTCACAATTGATAGCAAGTGCTTCCGTTATCGAATCTCGGGATACATTTACATCAAAGTATCGGTCCGTATTTTGATCAAGTACTACCGGATCGAGATCGATAATATTATCTTAATATCAGCCTCTGAGCCTCCGAGTTCCATCCTTGCAACGCCTATCACATTCACATTTGAACCCGCGTCACGTCAATTTGTGGCCAATTAATCCATACATACCATACCGTCTTCTACTTTCTTCTACGTTCATCTACTTTCTGCACATCATGAATTCGAAGCATGGATATGGAGAATGGGAATTTCCTAAATTTAAAGAGGCTCGTCAATTTCCGGTAAGTCTTGACACATCCGAATATGCACCCACGGGCGTTTCCTTCCAAGCAAATATGTCGGCGAGAATGTCCTCTGTATTTGGGATAACAGTATCTAACTGGATGATTGTTACTTTAGAATTTTCCTAGCGGTATGTCATAAACCGTTCCGGCATCCTCTCATACCTAGTAAAGGGCTGACAAGTTTTTAGCAAAATATCCAATGAAGGGTTCATCCATCGAAAAGAATGAATTTTGGTCGGTGAAATTTTATCCCTATACCAAACCAGATGTTGATCCTGTATATGCTGTGGTAGGTGGTAAACATGTGAGTTTTTCCCCTCTTGAAACCTCACATCAAGTCGCTAAAGATACATAGATTTTAATATGTAGACCTCCTACTGAAGACAAAGGCATCGAGACTATCCAATTCATTGTCGACGAGGAGGTAAGTCGTTTGAATTGATGGTTACATGTGGTGATCATTAACACAGGATTCTAGCCAAGCGCAGATCATTACTCATGTTGTTGGACCAAAGATTTAGCGACAAATAAGCCCCTCCTTTGTGTAGCTGGGGTTGATCCAAAAATCAAGATTTTTGATGTACTTTCGGGGAAACTTATAAGGGTGAGTGACATGATGGACACTTTGCAAGTACAAAAACTGACTATCAAAGGTGCTTACAGGACATGGAGGAGTATTCTTACCGAATCATATTGATCTGGATTCTCAAGGACTGATTAAGTTTCAGGACATCGATGAATTAGTAATTTCTCCAACAAATCCTCACATATTAGCATCTGGTTCTGCGGATTCCACAGTTCGAATATGGAGTCTGGATCCTGAGAATGAGCAATTTCCTTGTGCAGCCATATTATCAGGAGGTCATACAAGTGCTGTCTCAACGATCGTATGTCCAAATTCTCGAGCTGACAATCCATACTATGAACTTCACTAATCAAGTCAAAGTCTTTTCATCATTCTGGTCGATACCTTTTATCTGGTGGTGAAGATCATGTCATAAGTCTTGTTAGTATTTGTGTTTGAGGCAAAAGGGGCGATAATTAACATGACGTGAATTAGTGGGCATTACCAGACTTCCCAGATAAAAATACAGGAACAGATATTGCAACACAGATTCAATATCCACATTTTTCATCATCCGAAATCCATACAGCTTCAGTAGATTGGTGACTCTGTCCTCTCTTCTCCATCATACCTATTACATTACTCCACCATTCCCGTTCCCTTGAGCCGCTAAACACTCTACAATTCAAACCATACTAATATTCCCCAGCGTATGCTTCTACGAAGATTCCATCCTCTCCCGTTCCGCGAACGAAGAATGTATCGTTTTGTGGGAAATCACAGGTTTCGATTCTAAAGGACTAATTCCAGATCATGATAAAGCTCCTACGCAATATGAGGCTGCTAATGGGAGTTTAACTTTGACTTGTTTTACGGATCCGACGAAATTCGAAAGTTATATTAGGCTTATTGAGTATGTTTATCTGATTCTCTTCCACTCTCCTATTTTGATTTGTTTGTCCTTTTCTTGAGAGTGATGATGTTGGCTGCATTTCATCATCTTTATCAATTCGTAATACCTAAAGTATACACGTTCATCCACTCATCCAATTCGACATTTGAAAAGATATAACTTCATCATCTTTATTCAATTCGATGCCAAAAAGGATATAACTTCAAGTCCATTACTAATACATCTCCAGATTTTCCGCCCCAGAAACCGAAACCTTTTGGATGCGCTTCTCCCTTTTTCAAGGTCTTCCCATTCCAGAACCACCTTCCTACAAAAGTCCCTACCCCGATCTCAATTCTCACGAAAGCCCCAACTCCTCCACCCACCGCACTCACCCCATCCTCGCCATCGGCTCCCACACCTCCAAGATTTATTTCTGGGACCTCACGCGCTTAGAATCCTATTTCGATTACGTGCGCTCTCTTCCCACATCTCTCACTTGTAAAAATGATCCTGTTCCCGACCCTTCACATTCAACCATCATCGGTCTTACATCTGATCGGCAAAGTCCCGTTTCAGATGATCATGATACACAGCAAAAGCGCCCTCCATTCCTGACTCCCTCTCGACCAAGAGGTTCGCGTGGAGGAACCGGAGGCGCAGGAATAGGTAAAGGTTTCCATAGTAGATTTCGTGATGTTTCGCCCGCGAGCTCTTCGACTTCTACTACGATTACGATGTCGAGTTCGAATACTTTTGGTTCTGGTCCTGGTCATGGTCATGGTCATGGTCATGGTCTTTCTTTGGTTCCGGGTCATTTTCTTGTGAATGGGTTTGGAAATTCAAATTCAAATGCAAATACAAATGCAAATGGAAATTCAAATTCAAATCCAGATAAAATCCAGATAACAAGATCAGATATCAAACTCTGGAATGAGAAATATAATCTAAATCAGAGAGTCAAAGCGCATAAGGAGGAGGTGGTGAGGGGTTGGAGGTTTTTAGGAAGAGGGGTGGCGTGGAGTGTGGGGGGTGAGTGGTGTGTGGTTGTTGGGGGGGAGGGCGTGGTGGGTGTGTTGGGGAGGTGGGGGGAGGGGAGGTAGGTGAGGTAGGTGAGGTGGTTGGTGAGGGGAATGGAAGGGAAGGAGAGGGGAAGGAGAAGGGGGAAGGGTTAGAGGAATTGAAAAAGTAAAAGAAAAACGGAAGCTTATGCAGAGTATACTTATAGGTGGTACTAAGTATCCTTAGCGAAGCTTAGAGTATTAACCTTAAGTTTTCATTCCAATCCCAACTCCAATGCAATTCCAACTCCAATTCCAACCCCAAATCCCAACCCCAATGCAAATTCATATTTCAGAGTCAAATTTCAAAGTCAAGACTCAAGAGAACTTTTTTTTTTGTTTATGAACATGAATATGAATATATATTCTGTTCTGAGTAGAGTAGAGTAGAGTAGAGTAGTTAACCTAATTTAATCTAGATATAACCTACACCTAGAAAATCAAAAATCAAAAATCAGGTTTCTATTATAATACTCAATTCAATATAAGTCTTGTAGAATTTTGAATTTTGAATTGTGAGAAGAAAAAAAAAAAGTGTGCTACCTTACCCTACGCTACGCTACCTACCCTACCATAAACCATTAATCAATCATTCCATCCATCCATCAACTCCCTTCTTCTTTCTTCTTTCTTCTGTCTCCTTTCTTCTTTCTTCTATCTCCCTTCTCATATGCATCTCAACAAATTACTTTTCATCTCCCTCTCCCTCTCCCTCATCCCCTCACATCACACAACTCCAATCACATCATATCCCTCTAATCTAATCCACCTTCCCCCCAGCATTTACACCCCCCAACAAACCATCCTTTGCATTCCCACTCCCACTCCCCTCCTCAACTCTAAAATACCCCCCCTTCCTCCCGCCAATCTTCCCCCTTGCATACATCGTAGCGCCCAACATCAACCCCAGAGCTACTCCGAAACTCAGGAACGGATGTCCTGAGATCGCACCTCTGATGTTAAAAAAGAGTTTTTCAAATGAGCCTATTGTTGATTTTGGTTTGATGACTGGAGGATTCGAGACGACTTTTGGGATGGTTTCGAGGATTGAGGTGCGCGAAGGGATGATGTAGTTTCCGGTGATGGTGGTGTCCCAGTAACGACGGTTCTGTGGGGGTTTGAGGTTAGTGTTTTTGATGATATGGAAGAAGTGAAGGATTGGAAAGAAGTAAAGGAAGGATTGAAAAAGGTAAAGGATCGAAAAGAAGAGAAAAATAAGAGAGGAAATTACTTACATCTTCATCATTAATAATAACCTTTTCACCATCACTTTTAACCTCAATACCATAAGTACTTCTAATCCATCTTTCCCAAAAAACTCCATCAACCCAAGCGAATCCAACCTCCTTTTGATCAGATTTATCCATATTAATTCGAATGCTCTTTGCTGCCCTCAAAGCTCTTTGATCATTTCGATCCTCGGCTTCCTCTAACCTAAGTTGTTTTGCATCTCTCAATTCTTGTCGTTCACGTTGAAAGTTAATGATTTGTTTATCCATCCATTCTAATGCAGCTTGCTTCAATTCCTTCTTGGCCATTGCGAAATCGGCTTCACGATCTCGAGAAAGAATTGCTAGTACAACAATTTTACCATCCATAATCTCGCGAGAGTTCGAAGCTGTGAGTTCTGGTACGACAGGTAGCCAAACCGATTGCATCCAATGAAGAACTAGTCTGAATTCGCGCATGTCTTGAGGTGCGAGTGCAGTATAATAAGTCGGTCTTCCATCGCGAGATACCATTAAACGAGGCCATGTTGTAACCTTGAATCGATCTGCTAATCCAGCACTATTAGTCTTGACAAGTTTGGCATGTCCAATCAAACTTAAAGTCAATCTTTCCAATGCTGCGAAATCTTCGCTTGTGGTAGCATGATCGTAGAAATAGACAAAGATGACATCCTCCTTCTCCTCTAATTCTTTGAACTCCGAAGCATCAATATCTTTGACACCATCCCCAATATCAACGGCTTTGTTAGCGAAAGTAACAAAGTCACCCAATCCTCTAAGTCCTTCATATTCGACACGCTCACCCCCACGGAAGAAATGAATAGTGGGATATCCCCGAACATGAACATCCTTACACAACCTAGCCTCTGCTTCACAGTCAACCTCTCCAACATTGAGCTTTCCTTTCATCTCCTTTGCCAATTGAGCCCAGTTAGGAGCCATGGCTTGACAATGATGACACCATGGAGCGTAGAATTTGATAAACCATGGATCCTGCGACATGGTAACCAAGTTTTGAAAACTTTCTGCTGTGAGTGAGACAGATGTACCAAGTGGATTTGCAGTTTGAGTGGGTTTGGAAGGCTTCTTTTCGATTGGTGTAGCTTTAAGGGCAGGTTTGGTTGTGATTTTAGCAACGTCGGGTTTCGTTTCCTTCACGGCATCTTTGACAGTATTTTTAACATCCTTAATGGTATCTTTAACGGCATCCTTAGCGGCATCCTTTACTGGCACAACAATATCTGCGAGTTTCTCTGCGGCTTTTTCTGGTTTCTGAGCTGATCCTTCGGTTGCCTCTTCAGTGGATTTCTCGGATGACTTCTCAAGTAACTTCTCAGTTGTCTTTTCGGTTTCTTGTGAAGTGACTGCTACAGGTTTGTAGTCTGGACTTTGTTTCGCGCGTTCTTCTGGGTAAGCTGGTCCACCAATTGGTCTAGACCCTGGTCTAATTGAGTCTAGATTTTCCTCAATGAAAGCGCCCAATTTCTCCATATCCTTCGGTCCAATAAATCGCTTTGATTCCACGCCATCCTTATATAATATAAATGTTGGGAATGAAGTAACGCCATGATCTGTACAGGCATTTCCGAAAGCGATACAATCAAGAGAACCGAAATGATAATTGTAATAAGCCGAAAAAGTGTTTAATGATGTTGAAAGGCTGTCATCAGTCGCTGTCTTGACTGGTTTCGAAGTATAATAGAATTCGTAAAGTGTTTGCCATGTTGGCGCGATGTGTATACAGTGCCCGCAGTAAGGTCTAGAATGATTATGAGCATAATGATCTCCCATGGAATACGAACGGATGCAATCTCACGAGTGATGTTTAACAAACCAATACCCATCTGCAATCGTTTTATTAAAAGATTCCCCATTGATATCAGGGAGAGGAGGGACTTCAACTCCATTAAATATTGTTGATTCTGGTACATCTGAGGCTTCATCCGTGGAGACCTCTCCGGGTAATTCTGGAGAGGATTTCTCCAATGTTTGTTCCCCGGATTGTGCCAATATCACAGAGGCGAAGACAGTGGATAGCAACGATATTGGAAGAAGACGCATGTTGAAGGGAAGTTTAGGGGCAACCTGCACCCTGAGAATCCAAAGATTATTGCGGGTCGCGGCGAATCCGCCAACGAAGGTAAGAGGAAGAGTTCGTCGTCCTCAATTAATTCGAAATATGATAGTCGTAATATCGCAATATCGCATAGATCTCGTAAATTCAAGAGTCGTCTTGAGAAATCGTGATTATGTTTGGAATGAAAAGAGTGAAGTTAGATATTGAAGAAAGGATCTCGACTGACTCTCTTTCATAAACCTCCCTCCACAAATGAACGAAGTGATGGAACACAGTATGCACCTATTAGCGTCATTCGCTAACAAATAATCCTTGCAATATCTTTTTTTGGAATTATCACACGTGATAAGGTCCTTCCTCCTATCTATTATTATCTACTCGAGTAATACTTTCAACTTCAAAGGAATGTAATGAAGTGAATTAACACCCCATTATGATGAATGTGGTATTGTTTGACTGATATTGAGAAGGGCTGTAAAACTAGGTCAACCACTTCGATCTTCAATTCTCTGATATGTATTAAGAATTATCTTGTTAAAAAACAAAGGAGTTCCCCAGACTCATCACCAACAGCCATGGATCAAGATCAAAGTCAAGACTCAGATGAGCATACTCGAAAGAGTCGCAAATTCGACGATGATACTAATAATGATACTAATGACAAAGGCTTACAAAGGGGTATGGATAAATCGATATCACCTCCTCCATTGCGAAGACGTAGGATGGAACGTCTAAGGCAAATGGTACCTGAGAATAAGATGGAAAGTTTAGAGCAGATGATACCTGAGGATAGTCTAAAGGAGATGATACCCGACTACAAGATGGAAAATCTAAAGCAGATGGTACCTGAAAATAGTCTAAAGGAGATGATACCCGAAGACAGGGTGGAAAGTCCAAAGCAGATGGTACCTGAGAATAATCTAAAGCAGATGGTACCGGAGAACAAGAAAGAGAGTCTAAAGCAGATGGTACCTGACAACAAGATGGAAAGTCCCAAGCAAAAGGTGGTGAAGTCACCATTTCAGCTTACAACTATCCAAGATCTGCCTGCTTCATCTAACGTGGATACTGTTTCATTAAAGGATCTTTTGGGCGACCCTCTTATTTCAGAATGTTGGGAGTTTAACTATCTCCACAATCTTGACTTTTTGATGGAACAATTTGATGAAGATGTACAGAATCTGGTCAAAGTTAATGTGGTACATGGTTTTTGGAAAAGAGAAGATCAATCAAGGTTTAATCTCAAGGTATGTTCGAGGCGATCTACGTTTTCCTGTTTTACTTTCTCCAGTTTTTGATTCTTGTGTTCTCGTCTCCTCATGTTGCCAGTATTCGAATCATAAGCCGACGATGGGAATGATGGTGGAGATATTGAGCCAACATTCCTTCAAAATAGTGCGCCCGTTCTTCGGTGTGCATAATTGCTAATTGATATCAGGAGCAAGCTTTAAAGTATCCCAATATCAAACTTCTCACAGCTTACATGCCTGAGATGTTCGGTACTCACCACTCCAAGGTAACATCACTTTAGATCCTGCAAGTAGAACCCATTTACTGACCTTCTTAGATGCTCATTCTTTTTCGACATGATTTCACTGCACAAGTCATCATTCATACGGCCAATATGATCCCATTCGATTGGACAAATATGACCCAAGCCGTGTGGAAATCTCCTCTTTTGCCTCTTCTCAACCAGGAAAACCCAATCCTAATCGAGTCCAATGAAATGGGATCAGGATCAAAGTTCAAAAAAGATTTACTCAACTACCTACGAGCTTATGATACCAGAAGAGTTATATGCAAACCATTAATTGAACAGCTCCTCAAACATGATTTCTCTGAAATTCGAGCAGCTCTTGTTGCGAGTGCTCTAGGAAAGCAAGATATCGAAATTGACTCAACAGAGACAGCATGGGGGTGGCCAGGTCTCACAAACGTACTCAAGTTTGTACCTTGCAGTAAAGCCCAAGCCGAGATCGTAGTCCAAATCTCCTCGATTGCATCTCTTGGCACAACAGATAAATGGTTAAATCAAACATTTTTCAAAGCCCTCGGTACATCCAAACATGCGACCCCAAACCAAAATTCAAAATCATCTTCCCAACAGCCGATGAAATAAGAAGAAGTTTAAATGGATATGCATCTGGCAATGCAATCCATACGAAAATTCTCACGCCAGCTCAACTCAAACAATTAGCATACTTAAAACCAATGCTCCATCATTGGGCCGGAGACGGACCTCAACATACATCACCATCTCAACCCTCATCCCAACCAGAACCCACAACCCCATCAAACACCAACTCACTCCCCCAAAACCCCTCAATCTCACCACAAAACGCTCTCCGCAAACGCGCAGCCCCTCATATAAAAACATACATCCGCTTCAGCGACCACACTCACACTAATAAATCCATAGACTGGATATTAGTCACCTCTGCAAATCTCTCGAAACAAGCTTGGGGTGAAAATGTTAATGTGGCGGGTGAAGTAAGGGTGTGTAGTTATGAGATTGGAGTTTTGGTTTGGCCGGGGTTGTGGGGGGAGGGGGAAGGGGAAGGGGAAAGGGAGAGGGCGAGGATGGTGCCTTGTTTTGGGGGGGATGTGCCGGATATTGAGGGGGAGAGGGCTGGAGGTAAGAGTGTTGGGGAGGAGAATGTAGAGGGAACAGAGGAGGGAACGGAGGAAGAGGGAAAGGAAATAAGTGAAAATAACATCCTAATCGGAGCAAGAATACCCTACGATTTACCCATAACTCCATACGGAATAAACGATATCCCATGGTGCGCAACAGCTACATATGCAGAACCCGATTGGATGGGTAATACGTGGAATACATAACACATAATACATGAAGGAGTACCATTCACATAGCATAGCATTGCATACCATAGCATAGTATAGCTGAGGCAGATGGATGGATGGACTATCGTTTTGACATATTCTATTCATACTATCTCTATTCATAATATCTCTATCCATACTATCTCATACTAGCATTAATTAGCTATATTATATTATATTAATAGATTGAGCAAATCGATTAGAGTATGAATTTATTGCTACTACTTCTACTATTACTTCTATTACTACTTCTATTACTATCGAATACAACAGAAAATCCGTATAAGTTATATTTTCATTTTCATTTTCATAACGGCTCGCTACTGACTGAGTACAAATGGAAAATTCGTTCGTGGCTGCTCGGTATATATTATATATACAGTGTAGTGTAGTGTAGTGTACAGGTAGTGTGTATGTTCAGTGTTCAGTGTTCAGTGTAAGTAGAGTATAGTAAACAGTATTGTATTAACACTATATATAATACAATACAATACGATACAATACAACATATCTCATCTCATCTCATCTCGTTTCGTTTCGTTTCATTTTGTTTTGTTTCCCTAATAATATTACATACATCCATTTACTTCATCCATCTACTTCATCCATATATTCATCCATCCATCCAAAAACCAAAACTTCACATTTCTATAAATCTCTCTCTCTCTCTCTAATTATTTCTATCTAGTATCTCTAGGTACTCTACTCGAGGATCTACTCTAGTCTTTATACATTCGTTTTCCTTCTCTCTCTCTCTCTTCAAGTTGTCCTCTACTCCCTTAGGCTTTTTTGAAAATGATAGGAATGCTACGAGTAGTGGAGATATTTATTATTGATACTCGTATATAGATAGATAGATAGATAGATAGATAGGTATGTATTCCTGCATACTCTGCTCTAAGTCTTTGGTAGTTCATTTTTATTCTTATTTTAATGTTTCCTCTATCGATATCAATCAATCATCAATCATCTTTCTTGAATTACTCAGAGTATTCCTCACATCCATCCATCTAGACTTAGAGTCTAGGTTTCATCTCTTAACCTTATATGCTTATTTGGAAAGATGAATCTACCGGTACCTCACCCTCACCCTTATCCTCATCCTCATCCTCGTCAAAAAGACTCAAACTTAATTTCCACCAACAGCCTCAGGTACCTTATCAGCATCATACCCACACTTCTCCTTCAACTCTGCGATCTTGGCTACGTATTTTTCCTTGGCTTCGTCGGATGTGATTCCCGAATCGACCTTTTCTTGCCAGGATCTCTTTTTGGCTTTTCCCTGGGAGGTGGAGGGGAGAGGTTGTTAGTTGGTGGGTTTAAAAGGTGGGAGGATGAGGGATGGGGATAGATATCGGGATGGGGGATAAGGATTGAGATGGGGGATAAGGATTGAGATGGGGAATAATAGAAGGAGGATAGGAGGGAGGAGGGATGAAGATGAATAGAGAAGGAAATGAATAAATAGAAAACACACCTTAATATCAAACATGCCTGGAGTCTCCGCCTTGCTAATATCATCACCAATAGCTACTTTGTATAAACCTATTTAAAGCACCGCATATTAGTCTCTTTCTTTCTTTCTTTCTTTTCTATACACATATCCTCATATCTCCCAATCATCTCAATTCGTCGTTCGGGATCCAGTATCCCAACCTGTATATTCTAGCATTTGATGCAAGGCAGAAAGATAGAGGATGGAATGGCACAATATAAGATAGCAGAGAATAGGATAGCACAAAAGAGGAAAGAAAATGACAGGGCAAAAATACTGTAAAGCTCGAGTAAATCATCAGATCCAGGCTTCGAGGTAAGCTTCTTAGAATCGGCAACGGCGGTATCGAATGCGGTGGACATTGTGAGTAGGTAGGTGGTTTGTGTGAGTAGTGTGTGTGTAGCTAGAAGTAAATAATATGAATATCAGTATGGTCAATATAAATCTCCTCCTCTTAAAACGTTGATTCCTTGAGGTTAGAAAATGAAATGTTTTCAAGCTTGAGTTTGAGATTTGAGATCAAAAATCAAAAGATGGTATAGGTAGGTAAAACTCACAGGTTATAATTCGAAAATGTTAGGATTAGAAAGTGTTGAGGAAAGGAGAGAGAGTGTGTGTGTGAGAGAAAGAAAGAAAGGGATATGGCGGGGTGGGTGAGGGGTGAGTGAGGGAGCTTTGCTTTTAGTGGGGCATATTGTCTGTAGGGTAGCCTTAGTAAGGTTAAGCTTATTATATCAGATGAATATGGATGGATGGATGAGGCGTTTAACGCGGTTAAATTAATTACCTTCCTTACATGTCACAAGGGGGGGATATATGAGGGTTATACATTACTTACATATGTACATATGTACATATGTCTCATGTGTCTCATGTTCAAAATGAGGCTGATGGATGGATGGATGGATGGATGGATGGATAGGTCACATGGCGGGGAATTAGATAGTTTTAGTCTTGAGTTTGGTATGGTTTTAGAACTAATTAGAAGGTTGTGGCAAGAAGAGGTGTCAAAATAGGGGGGATCAAGTACTTTAGGGGATGATTGTAAGTTAAAATGAAAAGCTAAGAGACTAATCTAAGCTTATTGACAATTCCTCCTCGTGTAAAGGTGCGGGCTCCAATGGTTAATATCTCACTTGCAGGGGCTGGAAGAATACATTAACATTTGGACAGGTTTTGCGTTTGCGTACTCGATTCTTGTTGCTAAAGCGTTCAGAGTCAGTGAAAGTGGTGTTTCCAAATGAGATTATCCCCAAGATTCTGAGTGAGAATGAATAGCTTTGATAGAGCTAGACTAGACTATGAGTTGCGAACTCGGCCATGTCATGTGGAAAAGAAGTTGGGATGTTATAGATGAGATTTAACTACGAGTATGTTGTTGCAAGCGAGATGCTCAAATTCTGAGTTCCACCTTGTTGATGAATGGCTGTGTCTTATACGAACGGTGGGAAGGTAAGACCTAATGATGGGGGTGACTGGGACGAGGTGACTGGAGCATGATGTATGTTTGGTCTTTCATCAACAGAGAAGAAGCTTAAGATGAAGCCGTGGAATGTTGAATCGTTGAATATATCAGTTGTATATCAAATGGGTAAATTATACTCGTACTTGGATGAATGTATGAAAATAAATGACGGTTTGAGAATTTTCCTAGGAACTTGACTTAATCTTGACTTTATCTTGACTTCATCTTGAATTGATCTTGAATTAAATCATACTCATCCTCGCAAAATGTAGCTGTATGTATGAAGAACTTCCCGTTTGTACCTCCGCACTACAAGTAAATCTTAAACTCTTTCACCGCCTAAGTACCGAGCCGCATTTGTTGGCAGGAGGGGCAGACCGAGTTCTCTCCCCAGTAAAACCCTTTCGACTTTCAAATACAGATACAAATTCCTGAACAGAAAAAGATTCAGATAAAATTATTTTCAAAATGTCTACATCTGGAGATAGTAGAGTTGATTCAGCTTCAGCTTCAGCTTCATTCGAAATTCGAGAACATTTAAAATCAATCAATTCCAAATCTGATGTCAAGGGAACGAATGATAACTCGCCAGCGCCGAAATCAACCACAGAGGAAGAGATCAACGACAATTCACAAAAAGATGATGCTGCTACGATGGCTGCCAGTGAAGAATTAAAGCATACCACCATTTCAGACAGAATCACCCTTCCTACAGAAACACCCTCGCAGGCACCAGAAACAGAAGCTCAAACTGAAGATAAGGATATGTCCGGTACAGACAAAGACACCACACCCGAAGCTGATCCGACCGATGCGCATGATGAGGAAATGAAAGATCGAGTTTCTTCCCCCAAGAAGAAACGTGGTCGAGATCAAGATGACGATACAAACCATTTGGAAGATGATGGTGGGAGAAATAATGGCAGTACGAGCGAAGGAAGTACAAATGGAAGTCGAACCATGAGATCAGGTCCAGAAAAAAAGAGACCTCGAGATACTTCACAAGAACCATCCAGAATATCAAGTAAATCTTCAATAAAGGTAAATCTACACGTCCTCTTATGTCGCGCGCTGAAATACATTTTGAATTTACTAATATGAACTCTCAGGAGATAAGCTCGGCTGAACCTTCAAAGATCACTCAAACATCAACATCATCCACCGAAAACCCCATTAAATCTACATTTGGAAGCAGCTCTGGTGACAAATTTATAAGTTCAGGGTTTGGTGCCTTATCATCTGCAACCACTTCTCCGTTTGGCACATTGGGCGCAACCAAACCCAGCGTTTTTGGTGGAAATACAAAATCGCCGCTTTCAGGATTTGGGGCTTTGGCTTCCTCTAAACCTACAACCTCTACAGCTACATCATCTACTTCAGGTTCCTCGGGAGAAAAAACTACATCGGGGTTCGGGAGCGCGTTTGGTGGTGGTAGCACATCAGGATTTGGTGGATTAGGTTCAGGGAGTGCATTTGGCAGTGGGTTGAAAAATGGATTTGCTGGTGGATCTGGTCCAAAACTTTCAAGCTTTGCAGCTCCAGGTAAAGAAAATGTTGCCTTAGGTAGCAAGCCAGCCAAACCTTTTGGTGCTCCGGCTAGTGATGCGGAGGACTCCGATGATGATGAAGATGATAGCGATGGTGGGGCAGAAGGAGATGAGGAAGAAGGAGGGGATAAAGCAGTCGTTGAGGAAAAGAAAAAGTCCAAGAAAGGTAAAGTGTTGATTTCGCATTTTGCTATGTGTCTGCTCCTAATCATTATCTAGTTCACATGGATGACGGCGAAGCCGACGAAGCAACCATACTACAAATCAGAGCCAAGCTATTTGCGATGGGATCTAAAGAGGCCGGTTGGAAGGAGAGAGGAGTTGGTACTTTGAAGATAAACGCACCCAAAACCAGTGTCGAATTTGACGACAGTGGCCACACAATTCCTAATAGTTTTGATTCATCAATGCTAGAAGGACATAGTGTACGATTGGTCATGCGACAGGAAAATACTCACAGAGTTATCTTAAATACAGTGGTATTGAAAGCCATGGAATTCAAACCTAAACCATCGACTACCTCGGCTCAAATTTTATTCACAGCTTTTGAGGGAGAAACAGAAGCTAAACCTATCAATATGATACTCAAGGTCAGTACTCTCGATACTTATTATGTGTATGTTTTGTGAAGAGAACTCATCACTAATTGGATTTGGAAATAACAAACAGATGAATGAAAATAATTACAAATTATTCATAAATGAAATCGGAAATATTCAACATGAGTTATAGGTTATAGGTTATAAGTTATAAGTTAAGGAAGAAAGAGATATCTTGAATGAGACCACGAATCAACCAATACAAAAAAGATCTCACCCGGTTCAAATCCTAGGCATTTCTTCGAATAATAATGAAGGATGGATGGATGGATGGATGAGAGGATGGGTGAATGGACGAGAGAAAAGGGTAGGATGGATGGGATGGGATGGGATAAACCTACCAAGGTTATCACTCTTTTTTTTTTTCATTTGGTAGGGTGGTACCAGGGTCGGGTGGTAGGGCTTTTTTGCGCCTTCTTTTTTTTTTAGAATACTGAGATAAGACTCTAAATATTTGATGGATTGATTGATTGGTGGGTGGATGGATGGATAGTGGAGGGATGGATGAAGGATGAAAGGAGGGATGGATGGATTGATTGATGGATGGGTGGATGGATGAAAGGAGGGAGGGAGGGAGGGATGGATTGAGAGATATATGTATGTATATATGTATAGTCCTTTCTAATGCAATTTTACACTGGTTCTGATTGGTTGCTTGGTCGGCTGGTGTTGGTTATGAATGTGAATATGGGTGTGGATGTGAATGAGTATGGGTGTGGGTATGAGTAATAATACCTACCTTACCTATCTTCCCTGCCTTACCTGCCTTTTCTGATTTGATTGGATTTGATTGTTTTGATTCAAGGTTTTGATGAGGGTGTGGATGGGGTGATGAGAGTGTGAGGGTGGGAAATAAGGGGGAAGGTGTGGGTGATTTGATTATCGATTATTGATTATTGATTGAGATGGAGGGAAAAAAAGAGTGGAATGGGATAGAGGGGAATGGAGAGTAATAGAGTGAAATGGAGGGGAGGCGATGGGAGAAGAAT